TGTGTAGTTGTTGTTGTTGTTGTAGTTGTTGTTGTGTAGCGTAGTAGTTGTTAGTGTAGTTGTTATAGTTGTTGTTGTTGTAGTTTGTTAGTGTTGTTGTTGTGTAGTTGTTATAATTGTTGTTGTAGTTGTTGTGTAGTTGTTATAGTTGTTGTTGTTGTTGTTGTTGTGTAGTGTTGTTGTTGTAGTTGTTGTAGTAGTAGTTGTTGTTGTTGATGTAGTAGTAGTTGTTGTTGTTGTTGTTGTGTAGCGTAGTAGTTGTTAGTGTAGTTGTTATAGTTGTTGTTGTTGTAGTTGTGTAGTGTTGTTGTTGTTGTGTAGTTGTTGTTATTGTTGTTGTTGTTATAGTTGTTGTAGTTGTTGTAGTGTTGTTGTTGTTGTGTAGTTGTTGTTGTTGTTGTTGTTGTTGTGTAGCGTAGTAGTTGTTGTGTAGTTGTTGTTGTTGTTGTTGTTGTTGTGTAGCGTAGTAGTTGTTGTGTAGTTGTTCTCTCACCAGAGGGTGGTACTGCTCCCACAGAGCCGGCACCAGAGTCTGCACCGTGTGATACTCCACAGGAACCTCGTACACGTGAAGGTCCACGCCCGAGCCCAGACCCAACTTCTTCAACTCCTAAAACACACAACAAACAAACACAAACACACACACACACAAACACACAACAACAAACACACAGAGAAACACAAACACAGAGAGGAGCAGATGATCAGACAGGTTCTACATCAGGTTTAACAGAACACAGAGCACATCAAACACAACTCCAAACTGTTTGTGACTAAACCAACACAACTCTGTCCGACATTAAGTTCACAGGAGTTTATTTTAGAGTAATATTGGTCGTTTAAAGGCACATTTCCCCGCCGTGTCCAGCAGAGGGCGACACAGAGTCTGAACATATTTTCAAAATCCTGATTGAAAGCTTTAGAGTCGTTGAATATTGAGCAAATGGTCACAAATAAAAAACTATTAAAGGTTCAATATTTCACTATTTTCTGATGTTCTAAAGTCGTCAACTCGAGTTGTTTTTTTTGTTTTTTTTTGTTTTTTTCATTCATGTTTAACACTCAGATCCACCTTGTGATGTCATGTGGTAATACAGGAAGTGCTGTGTTTTTAAACTCCATACTAACTAAACCAGGACTGAACCAGGTCTAGACCAGGACTAAACCAGGACTGAACCAGGTCTAGACCAGGACTAAACCAGGACTGAACCAGGTCTAGACCAGGACTAAACCAGGACTGAACCAGGACTAGACCAGGACTAAACCAGGTCTAAACCAGGACTAGACCAGGTCTAAACCAGGACTAGACCAGGACTAAACCAGGTCTAAACCAGGACTAAACCAGGACTGAACCAGGACTAGACCAGGACTAAACCAGGACTAACCAGGACTAACCAGGTAGACCAGGACTAAACCAGGACTGAACCAGGACTAAACCAGGACTAGACCAGGACTAAACCAGGACTGAACCAGGTCTAGACCAGGACTAAACCAGGACTGAACCAGGACTAGACCAGGACTAAACCAGGTCTAAACCAGGACTAGACCAGGTCTAAACCAGGACTAAACCAGACCTAAACCAGGACTGAACCAGGTCTAAACCAGGTCTAAACCAGGACTGGGATGAACCCAAACGTGTGAACCAAACGATCGTCGTAAATAAACCTGGACAGACGAGCGTCCGAAGCCCCGCCCCTCTCTGCTCGGACAGCTAACCCCTGACCTCTGACCCCTCCCCTGACCCCTGACCCCGCTCACCCCTTTGTTTGGCTTTAATATCCTCATCAGGAGCGTCTAGACACCGTGACACCCTCCATGACACCCGCCCACCGCCCACACAGCACCCAGCACCCAGCCCCCCCAGGAGCTGCCACCGGGACCCACAAACATGCCGAGACCAGGACTAGACCAGGACTAGACCAGGACAAGACCAGGACAAGACCAGGACTAGACCAGGACTAGACCAGGACAAGACCAGGACAAGACCAGGACTAGACCAGGACTAGACCAGGACTAGACCAGGACTAGACCAGGACTAGACCAGGACTAGACCAGGACTAGACCAGGACTAGACCAGGACCAGACCAGGACTAGACCAGGACTAGACCAGGACTAGACCAGGACTAGACCAGACTAGACCAGACTAGGACAGGACAACCAGGACCAGGACAGACTAGACCAGGACTAGACCAGGACTAGACCAGGACAAGACCAGGACAAGACCAGGACAAGACCAGGACTAGACCAGGACTAGACCAGGACTAGACCAGGACTATACAAGGACTAGACCAGGACTATACAAGGACTATACAAGGACTAGACCAGGACTAGACCAAAACAAGACCAGAACAAGACCAAAACAAGACCAGAACTAGACCAAAACAAGACCAGAACTAGACCAAAACAAGACCAGACCTAGACCAGAACAAGACCAGAACTAGACCAAAACAAGACCAGAACAAGACCAGAACTCGACCAAAACAAGACCAGAACAAGACCAGAACTAGACCAAAAAAGACCAACTCGACCAAAAACAAGACCAGAACAAGACCAAAACAACACCAGAACTAGACCAAAACAAGACCAGAACTAGACCAAAACAAGACCAGACCTAACCAAAAGACCAAAACAGAACCAGAACTAGACCAAAACAAGAACAGAACTAGACCAAAACAAGACCAGACCAAAAGACCAGAACTAGACCAAAAAACAAGACCAGAACTAGACCAAAACAAGACAGAAAAACAAGACCAGAACTAGACCAAAACAACACCAGAATTAGACCAAAACAAGAACAGAACAAGACCAAAACAAGACCAGACCTAGACCAAAACAAGACCAGAACTAGACCAAAACAAGACCAGAACTAGACCAAAACAACACCAGAACTAGACCAAAACAAGACCAGAACTAGACCAAAACAAGACCAGAACTAGACCAAAACAAGACCAAAACAAGACCAGAACTAGACCAGAACTAGACCAAAACAAGACCAGAACTAGACCAAAACAAGACCAAAACAAGACCAAAACAAGACCAGAACTAGACCAAAACAAGACCAAAACAAGACCAAAACAAGACCAGAACAAGACCCAAAACAAGACCAGAACTAGACCAAAAACAAGAACCAGAAAAACAAGACCAGAACTAGACCAAAACAAGACCAGAACTAGACCAAAACAAGACCAAAACAGACCACTAGACCAAAACAAGACCAGAACTAGACCAAACAAGACCAGAAAAGACCAGAACAGACCAGAACTAGACCAAAACAAGACCAGAACAAGACCAAAACAAGACCAGAACTAGACCAACAAGACCAGAAACTAGACCAAAACAAGACCAGAACTAGACCAAAACAAGACCAAAACAAGACCAGAACTAGACCAGAAACTAGACCAAAACAAGACCAGAACTAGACCAAAACAAGACCAAAACAAGACCAGAACTCGACCAAAACAAGACCAGAACAAGACCAAAACAAGAACAGAACTAGACCAAAACAAGACCAGAACAAGACCAAAACAAGACCAGAACTAGACCAAAACAAGACCAGAACTAGACCAAAACAAGACCAGAACAAGACCAAAACAAGACCAGAACTAGACCAAAACAAGACCAGACCTAGACCAGAACAAGACCAGAACTAGACCAAAACAAGACCAGAACAACTAGACCAAAACAAGACCAGAACTAGACCAAAACAAGACCAGAACTAGACCAAAACAAGACCAGAACTAGACCAGAACTAGACCAAAACAAGACCAGAACAAGACCAAACAAGAACCAGAAACTAGACCAAAACAAGAACAGAACTAGACCAAAACAAGAACAGAACTAGACCAAAACAAGACCAGAACAAGACCAAAACAAGACCAGAACTAGACCAAAACAAGACCAGAACAAGACCAAAACAAGACCAGAACTAGACCAAAACAAGAACAGAACTAGACCAAAACAAGACCAGAACTAGACCAAAACAAGACCAGAACTAGACCAAAACAAGACCAGAACAAGACCAAAACAACACCAGAACTAGACCAAAACAAGACCAAAACAAGACCAGAAACAGACCAGAACTAGACCAAAACAAGACCAAACTAGACCAACACAAGAATAGACCAAAACAAGAACAGAACAAGACCAAAACAAGACCAGACCTAGACCAAAACAAGACCAGAACTAGACCAAAAACAAGACCAGAACTAGACCAAACAAGACCAGAACTAGACCAAAACAAGACCAGAACTAGACCAATAGACCAAAACAAGACCAGAACTAGACCAAAACAAGACCAAACAAGACCAGAACTAGACCAGAACAGACCAAAACAAGACCAGAACTAGACCAAAACAAGACCAAAACAAGACCAGAACAGAACAAGACCAAAACAGACCAAAACAAGACCAGAACAACCAAAAACAAGACAGAAAGACCAAAAACAAGAACAGAACAGACCAAAACAACACCAGAACTAGACCAAAACAAGACCAGAACAAGACCAAAACAAGACCAGAACTAGACCAAAACAAGACCAGAACTAGACCAGAACAAGACCAGAACTAGACCAAAACAAGACCAGAACAAGACCAGAACTAGACCAAAACAAGACCAGAACTAGACCAAAACAAGACCAGAACTAGACCAAAAAAGACAGACCAAAACAAGAACTAGACCAGAACTCGACCAAAACAAGACCAGAACAAGACCAAAACAAGACCAGAAACTAGACCAAAACAAGAACCAGAACTAGACCAAAACAAGACCAGAACTAAGACAAACCAAACAAGACCAAAACAAGACCAGAACAAGACCAAAAAAACCAGAACAAGACCAAAAACAGACCAGAACTAGACCAAAACAAGAACAGAACTAGACCAAAACAAACAGACCAGAAAGACCAAAAAGACCAGAACAAGACCAAAACAACACCAGAACTAGACCAAAAAGACAGACCAGAACTAGACCAAAACAAGACCAGACAGAACTAGACCAAAACA